TTCTATCTAAATCTATTAATTTTGAAAGCAACGATATTGGAAATCCAATTAGATTTAATTCTTTTAGAAAATATTGATGTAAATTTTGAATCCATAGAATAAAAATTATGATTCAAAAGAATATCATGATGTAAAAATCATTAGAATCAATTTAATAATTATTATGATTAATTAAATTTTAGGAAAAATTAATACAGTTAGGGTTATCTTTAATTGCAATCATTTTAAAGATTCTTAAGAAAAATCATTATTTTATACGAAAGTTGATCTGTTATTAACATTTTAAATCATTTTAAATTTTACAACATTTAATTATAACTATTATTAAATATATTCTTAATTTTAAGCAATACTTTATACAAATGAATATTTTATATTTTTATTTATTTAAAGATTCTTAATCTTAAACCATACTTAGTAAAAATGAATATTTTTAATTTTAATTGTTTCAAAATTTATTAATTTAAATCAATATTATATACAAATGAATATTTTAAATTATATATATATAGATTATTATTATTTAAATAAATAATATTCTTAAACTTCTATTTTCTGAAGTTTAGATTATTTCTAATAATATTATTACTTAAATGGTATGTAATATTTATTGTGCTACTTTTTTATCTATCACTGATTTTGATTAAATTAATCTATTTACAATAATCCTATTCATTTAATTAAATAACAATTATTTTATTTAGGATTTAAATCCTTTCTTATAAACTCAAAGTACTTTTCTTATTATTTCTTTTAATCATAACCATATTTCTTATTTAGGTTCATATTTTCTAGCTCATATCGGCAAATTCTGCTTATTGAAAGAGTTGACTTGTATTCTTAAACTAAACGAATCATAATTTCATGAATTTTTTTTTATTTTTTTACAATTATTTATACATTTTAGATTATAATTTAACAACGATTATTTTAAGAAAGTTAAAGAAAATAATAATTTCAACAGAATTTAATATTTGATATAAGTAATTATACAATTATAACAATAATTATACGATTAGATATAATGTAAATAACAAATATTTTCCTAATAACTTTTATGCAAGTCCGATTAATTCATTGTCTAATTTTTATAATATGCAGAATTTATATTATTAAATTTAAGCTCTAAATAATACTTCATAGTTGAAAAGAGCATTGACATCATTCATGTAGCTCTAGGGCAAAATTGCAGAAAGTATCTCGACCTTTAAGCTTATGAGTTAGAATATTTGAGATAGGGAAATATATAGAAGCAATTAATGTGAAAATATACTAAGGGATTAATGATGCATGATAAAGAGGAGAGAAAATTTAATGAAATTTAATAGCATATCAGTAATTGATTTTTAAAGGTTTACTAAAACCCCTAAAATTATAAAGAAAGGAAGAGCTCTGATATAGTATAAATCTTTTGATATCTAGAATAGAAATAAACTTTAGAATATGATAGGTGGAAAAGGAAGAATGCTCAAAATTAACTTAATAAATCATTAAACAACTTTTTAACCCTTCAATTAGGTACAAAAGTATCTAGATGATATTGAAGAAGGAAATATTATTTAGGAAATCTTTTAGCAGAAGAGTAAACATAATTTTGTCATATAGGAGGAAAATATCAATGATGAATTAAATGCATAGATGTGGATTATATAAAATTATAGCATTTATGATCAAAGAAGGATATACATCTAGGAAAGTATATTAATTAAATACTGTTAATAGAAAAGGATTAAGCAATTATAAAAAACTATAGCAGAATAGACTGGGGTTAATTTACAACAAAAAAAGGAGGTGAAAAAAATGAATATAGAAAAATGGAATTGATAGATTATAGATTAATAGAATATCAAAATACATATCTAATAGAAACTAAAAGTGGATGAAATAACTTGAGAAGAAATATTAATTTATAAGGACTAGGGGCAGATAGTATTAAAAACCCTTTTCTAGGAGAAAGTTAAAGAATAGGGATGATGTAAAAATTGAAATCTTTTTATAAGATGTATTTCAAGAATTTTGGATTTTCATCAGCTCTAACAAAAATTGATTAAATAACAAAAATTTAGAAAAAATCTTTAAATGAGAGAAATTATTATATTTAATAGGAGAGAATTTCAATTTAATTAATATTTAGTAATTAGAATAATAATTTAATTAATTATTTTATAAAATAATATAATTTATGTGTAAAAGTCATTTTTTATTCATTAATTAGAAAAATTATAATCATAGTCAATATTTAATGTTTAAATGGATTTGATTTAAACTGTAGTGTATTTTCCAATCAGATCAGATAAATGAACAACTTTTGCTTCTATATCGATTATATCATCTTAAATTTAAGTTTCGATAGAATTATTATTTAGAAGATGGTTATCAACCGGAAGCTACATCGTTTCCGAATTTCCCAGTTGATTAATCGATTATATAGGAGAATTATTCAAAAATTAATCCATTATAGGAGAAAAAGAGGTTGTTTGCAACATTTTAATAAACATCTCCTTAATTAAAGAATAATCAGGCATTTAATAGTGTTTAAGATCGTTAATGTATGACATAAATTTTGAAAATTCCAAAGGAAATTTTTGGCATAATGTCATGGTATTAAAGATAGAAGTCTTCATCTCTCCAATAAATTTTATGTCCATATTTTTAAATCCCATAGAAGGCTTTTGAGACCATGGCAAATTACCTAGAGTTAATATTAATAAATACTATTTCTCAAATAGACTAATACATAAAATAGGCTTTCTAAATCATCTTTATAACCTAATTATTCTCCTTTATGGGCAGCTCTGCTTGCAAAGTTTAACGAGCCAATAAATACATTTTTTAAGAATTTTGAATTTCCTAAAGTTTGAGATAACCCAAAATCGATGAGTTAAATAAATCCAGGTTTGAGAAGTTAGTCTTTTGAATTTTTTTGTATTTTTTATGATATCATAATATTTTCTGGTTTAATATCTAGATGTAAAATATTTTTTTTATGAACATTTTCTAAAGTCTCAATAAGACTTAATCCAATTGCCAATATGCTGGATAAAGATAATTGCGAAGATTTCACTAAATCCCGTAAGCTACAATTTAGTAGTGGCATAATAAGAAAGCACCTAAATTTATTTATATATTTATTACTTATTCTCTGGGGTTATTCCATGGTGTATTAAATTTGGAACACCTTCAATTCCATTTAATTCTTTAAGGACTTTAATCTCACCCTCTATTTGGCCTAACTTAGGAGATTTTTCCATTTTAATTGCAAATAGCTTTTGTGTTAGATTGTGCTCAGCTTTAAACACTTAGTGAGCAGAACCTTAACCAATCATCGAGAGTACTTGATATTTAGAGGTTTGAAGATACATTAGAGAACTATTTTTAATTATGGAATTAAAAAAGAACAAAGTTCTTATTGACAATAAAAATGAAGGGGGTTAAGTATTAATATATTTATATATATCCTAAAGTGAATATCAATATCACCTAAATATTATTATATTATTTATTACATCGTTATTATTGTAGTCTACAAGTATTGCTAAGAGAGACACAAAATGGTCACATAAATTATTTATAGAATGAAACATAATACATTTTTCTGTTAGTTAATTTGAAAATAAAAATTATCTCCAATTTTTAATGGAGGTCAAGAATTGCCAAATATGCAAAGAAGGAGGATTTGTAATAGTGTATATTAGAAAAAATTAAATTCTAATTGTGATTTGGGACAATTCTCATCTTGACATTAGTAATGTATATTATGGCTTTATTTGTAATAAGACAAAATTGGATACACTTGAATATCAGAATTGAATTCAAAATGTGCGCAATAGTATATTAAAGAAGTGAATTATCTTCACTTCATATTTAGTAACATAATGACCACAAAATTTAATTTAATATTTTGGCTCAAATTTATAAATGAGATTACAAATCATATTTAATAAGTAAATTTTTAAGCATAATCAAGAAGTAAACTCAAATTTCATTTCATTTAGAGAGAAAAATATTAGATGTCTCTTCAAGATATCTGATACATCAATACACTAATTTATATATATGTATATATATTATAATGTGTTTATAATTCAACAAAGAAATAATAATATATTTTAATCGTTAAAAAATTAAATTTAAATTAATAATTATTACTTAAGATTCTCGGATTGAATAATCTATGATAGCCAGGTTCAATTTTTGAGTATAAATTTGCATATTTAACAAAATATTTGGCTTATGTATAAGAACTACGTTTTCTCCTAGTTAAATATTTTCAAAATTTTTATAATATTTCTACAATCCAATTTTTGAAATTAAAAAATGATTTGATATTGTTTATAAATTAGTATATGGTTTTTCCGTTACTACTTTTCTAAAATATTTTAGTGATCTTAAAAATATTAGGCAACCTATGATAGATTACATATGGAGAATTACATTTAATAGCTTTATGTTAAAACTATACAACATTGAATCAATAATTAGAACTTTTGATTTGTAAAAAATATTATATAGGCTGCTTATGTTTGTTTGATTTAAAAAACAGTTATCTATAACAGTTGAATTATAAGATCTAATTTAAATATGTTTAATCAAGATAACAATAAAAAGATATTTAAATTCTATTTATTAATTTAGTTTATAAGCTTAATTTTCACTTCTAAAGACTGAATTAATTTTTAATAAGATTCTTCTTAATTTTCTTATAGATTGAAGAATGTAAAAATTTATATATACTTATAATAATTAACTTAAAATTTAATAATATTATAAATTATCAGAATCAATCAAATTTATATTAAAAAATAAACATTTAATATAATAATATTTCTTAAAAATTTCAAAATATTTAATAAAGTAGCCTTAAATATTTATAATATTAATGAATTGAAAATTTCATAAAAATTAATTAATAAGAGATTGAATTTATTAGAAAGAAAGGAAATAAATACTTTATTTTAATCAAATGTGAATTTATTTTATATATGGTATTTTAAATATCTTCAATATTATCCGAAACTTTAATTGTATTGTTACATTTAGATTAATATAGCCCCTAAAAATATTTCTATATATTAACTATTAAAATGTTCAAGCTATTGTTTATTTGGACAAAGATATTATAAGAGTTAATATAATTCTGATGATTCATTCCAACGATTCATTTACATTAGAGTTACAACTTAGAAAATAATGAGTCTTTACTTTTGATTAGGATATAATTAGGGTTGTATGGCTCTATCCTAAGAGCTATATCACAAAATTTCAAAGCATCTTAATTTCGATTAACTGCTCTTAATGTATCAGCTAAAATTTAATATTAATTTATAAATATATCTACCTTTTTCTGCATAATATTTAGAACCTTCTGGATTTCTTTTAATTGCCTCATCAAAAAACTTCAAAGCTTCTTCAATCTTTAATTAAAATTTTAATATGTTTGCTTTTATTTGAATTAAATATACCTTTTAGTTCATAATTATCAGCCAGATTTGGGTTCCACTTTAATGCCAAATTTGCATATTTTAACGCTTCATCAAATCGATTAAGATGTCTTAATGAATCCGCTTATTATATTATCTAATGCATACCTTTTGCTCCATATTATTATGAGTCCTCCGGATTGTATTAAATTGCTAAATCAAAATATTTTAAAGAATCTTCATAACGATTCATATCTCTTAATGTATCACCTATTTTGATTCAATTTATATAAACCTTTTCCTGAGTACAAAATCCATTTTGTAGGATTTATTTGAATTGCTTTATCAAAGTACATCAGAGCTTCTTCATACCTGTTTTAAAGTCTTAATGCCTAAGCTTTAAAATAATGATGATTAATTTTACCTTTTGCTTCATAAGTTTTTTCATCATTTGGAGATCTCTAAATTGCCTAATGATAACAATCTAGAGCTTCTTTAGCTCTATTCATGAATCGTAAGGTGTCGCCTAAATTATATTATTGTTAATGTAACCTTTATGAATAAAGTATTCATAATCTTCTGGATTCTTTTCAATAGCCTGATCAAAACATGCTAAGGCGTCTTTATAGCGATGCATCTCCCTTAAAGCAATTCCTAATTTGATGGTTTGATTGATCAACCTTTTTGCGCATAAACATAAGCATCATCAGGATAGATGCTTATTGNAAATATTTATAATATTAATGAATTGAAAATTTCATAAAAATTAATTAATAAGAGATTGAATTTATTAGAAAGAAAGGAAATAAATACTTTATTTTAATCAAATGTGAATTTATTTTATATATGGTATTTTAAATATCTTCAATATTATCCGAAACTTTAATTGTATTGTTACATTTAGATTAATATAGCCCCTAAAAATATTTCTATATATTAACTATTAAAATGTTCAAGCTATTGTTTATTTGGACAAAGATATTATAAGAGTTAATATAATTCTGATGATTCATTCCAACGATTCATTTACATTAGAGTTACAACTTAGAAAATAATGAGTCTTTACTTTTGATTAGGATATAATTAGGGTTGTATGGCTCTATCCTAAGAGCTATATCACAAAATTTCAAAGCATCTTAATTTCGATTAACTGCTCTTAATGTATCAGCTAAAATTTAATATTAATTTATAAATATATCTACCTTTTTCTGCATAATATTTAGAACCTTCTGGATTTCTTTTAATTGCCTCATCAAAAAACTTCAAAGCTTCTTCAATCTTTAATTAAAATTTTAATATGTTTGCTTTTATTTGAATTAAATATACCTTTTAGTTCATAATTATCAGCCAGATTTGGGTTCCACTTTAATGCCAAATTTGCATATTTTAACGCTTCATCAAATCGATTAAGATGTCTTAATGAATCCGCTTATTATATTATCTAATGCATACCTTTTGCTCCATATTATTATGAGTCCTCCGGATTGTATTAAATTGCTAAATCAAAATATTTTAAAGAATCTTCATAACGATTCATATCTCTTAATGTATCACCTATTTTGATTCAATTTATATAAACCTTTTCCTGAGTACAAAATCCATTTTGTAGGATTTATTTGAATTGCTTTATCAAAGTACATCAGAGCTTCTTCATACCTGTTTTAAAGTCTTAATGCCTAAGCTTTAAAATAATGATGATTAATTTTACCTTTTGCTTCATAAGTTTTTTCATCATTTGGAGATCTCTAAATTGCCTAATGATAACAATCTAGAGCTTCTTTAGCTCTATTCATGAATCGTAAGGTGTCGCCTAAATTATATTATTGTTAATGTAACCTTTATGAATAAAGTATTCATAATCTTCTGGATTCTTTTCAATAGCCTGATCAAAACATGCTAAGGCGTCTTTATAGCGATGCATCTCCCTTAAAGCAATTCCTAATTTGATGGTTTGATTGATCAACCTTTTTGCGCATAAACATAAGCATCATCAGGATAGATGCTTATTGCACTATCAAAACAATCTACAGCTTCTTAATTCCTATGCAATTGTCTTAAAGAATAAGCTTAAATTAATTAATATATAATCAAACCTTTTCCAGAACGATGTTCATAGTTCTCAGGATTCCTTTATATTGCTAGATCATAAGATAATATGGCTTCCTCATTTCGATTCAACTGTCTTAAAGTATATGCTAAATATAGAAAGACTAGATTAAACCTCTTCCAGAATAATAATTAGAATGTGAAGGATCTAAGTCAATTGCTTTTTGCCATTCACTTAAAGCCTCTTCAAACCGATTCATTTATTGTAGAGTATGAGCTAATTTTACAAAATGCAAATTTCACCTTTTCCTGAATGAAAACTAGGTTAAGAGGAATCCAGCTCTATTGCTTTATCATATTATATCAAAGCTTCTTTCAGTTTGTTTTGTATTCTTAATGCATTAGCTATTATATTTTGAATTATTAAATTACCTTTTTCAGCATATAATTCTGATTTGTTTTTGCTTTTTTATATAGCAATATCATAGCTAGCCTAGCATTCATTGAATCTATTCAAATGCAATAAAGCATGTGCTAAACTTTAAATTGATATCAACCTTTTCCAACATAGAATTGTGATGTATTAGGATCTTTTTAAATAGCAATATTAAAATAATCTAAAGCATCTTAGCCTCTCTTAAGTTATAGTAATGTAAAAGCTAACAGAATATTTTAAATATATTTAACCTTTCCTAGCATAATTATTTGCATTTTCAGAATCCTTTTCGATTGCTTTCTCAGCAAATTCAAGAGCTTCTGTAAGTCGATTCATTAACAATAGAACATTTGCTTTAATTAATTATTGATTATTCTACCTTTTTCTTCATAATTTCTTGGATCTTTAGGATTTTATTTAATTTCCTTTTCAATTACAATCAATGCTTCTTCTAATCTATTTTATTTGATTAAAACCTAGGCTAAATTGAAATAAAATGAGATATGTACCAATATTAGGTATCAAAATAAAATTCTTAACAGCTTGTCTAAAATTTTCCATATCCTCTATTAATTATCCTTGTAAATAGTAAATACATTAAACCATAAATTTATGCATTCTCTTAGTCTCCAATTATCTAATCAGTTTAAATTTTATCTATTTTCAGAGCTTCATTCAGAGCTTCATTCTAGGAATTAAATTCAATTAATTATTTGTAAATTAAAAATTTTCTACTTATGTTTCTAGAATTGATAGATATTAAATAGCGCTAATTATTTATATACTTATTACTTTTTTCATTTATATAGCTATTTATTAATTTTGGATTTCTGGAATATTTATTCTAAGCCAATTCATTTTATTGTTAATTATAGCTAAAGAAGAAATAATATGTAAATAGTGAACTTTATTTTGCTTTTTTTATTTCTTGTTTTTGTCTTTGGATTTCTTGAGAGATGAATTGTTTGTATTCTGAGACTATCTTTAATAATGCAAGTTTTATGTCATCATTTTTTTGTTAAAAGGAAGCCATGAATTGATTTCCACTTAAAATTTTTTTGTTTGAAGAAATATTTAATCAAAAAGTGATAAATAAATTATTTTAGAATTACTTTAATATCTTTAAAAAGACTCTTTATAATTTTAATACTTTGATTTTAGAAAACAAATTAATATCAATAGTATTTTATTAAACTCATTTGAAGCTTCATATGAAAATAATCAATTGTAGCATATTGCAATTTTTGTAAAATTTTAATTTTAATTAGTAGATATCCAACTAGCTTTTAATTATAATGAAAATTTCATTATCCTATCAGAAAAGAGCGATTAAGCTTTAAATCGTACACAAATATATGTCCATCAATAAATATATAAAATTTTATGTCGTTTATTATAGTTGGTAACTAATAGAAGAAATTTTAATATTTGTGCCTACTTAATATATTAACATAAAAGCCTTTATGCCAGTCTAAATAAATCGATACTAATCTTATAGCCTGAATATCATGTTTTATATTTTTAAGTTTTGATATTTAATTAAGAATAAAGATTAAAAGTGATGAATGATGCAAGGAATAAAAATTTTTAAATTGGTTTCAAGAATATTTTATTTATAATGAAAAAGCTGGGAGATTTATTTTTGAAATAAATGATAAAAATATTTAAGTTAATTTTTAATTAAAGTATCATTTTTGAATTCTCAAAATCTTGTATTTACTAATTGAAAACTAGATATGTATATATATATATTTAAAAAAACACTTGTAATTTTATGTTTTTTATTAATAATATAAGAATGTTTGATATTCAATGTAATTATAAATTTTTCCAACTTTACTTTTGATATTTTCTAAACCACTTTTTTTTTATTTTATTATACACTTCTTTATACTAAATATTAAATATGTATCATTACATTTTTATATCCATTACACAAATATTTAAAAAGAAAAAAAAAGAATAAATAACGTTTATATTGATTTGAAAGATAAAATTACTACATTTTGATTCTGCTAATTAAGTGTTTCTTAAAATAAAAAATAAATAAATTCAAGGACTTCTACATCTTAAAAGTTTCTTTACATTATTTAACAAATAATTAGAAATTCTTAATCCTTTTAATATTGTATATCATCTCATATTTCCAAAGAATCATATTTTTTTTTTAATTCTCTCATCTTGTCTTATATTCACCCAAAAATAGATTGATTTTTTTTTGCTTCTTTAATAAAAAAGTTAGGTAAACTCATACAACTGATATCATTTATTTAAATTTTGCTAATTTATTCAACTTTAGACAAATAAATATATAATTGTTTTTCATTAATTAATGCAATTTATAATAGGGATCTTAATTTGATTCTCCTAAAAAAAATTATAAGCTATTCTTAAATGAGTTCTTTATCAATTTTGCTTAATTTCTATGTAATTCTTATGGAAAAACCTCTAATTTATTTATTAAATTTATTAAATACCTTCTATCATCCTAATATATAGCATGGCATACTTTTGAAAAGATTACTTTACAATAACCCAATTGTTTATTATTAAAACATCAATTTAATAAATTTGATTTATTTTCCAATTGTGAAAAAATATCTTAATTGTTATTTTCTAAATTTGTAAAAGAAATGATTCAGATAAGTGAATATCATAATTATATTCTTAATAACATTAATTTTTTGATTAGATTTAAATTAAAAACATTTCTTTTGTAATTATGATAACATTTCAAAATATCAGATTACTTAAAACATATATATGCCATTAGATAATAAGTATTAAGATTAAATAAAGAATATTTAACTATAGTACTCTTTCTGAAATTTAACACATTCTTATTGAACTAAATAAAAAGGAATCTTTATGTTTACAAAAGAATTATTATTATTCCTTCATTTAAATTGAATATAACATTATGTATTGCTCCTTTATTAATATCAATTAAATTTACAATTAATTTCTATTTTTATATCCATATTATTATATTGTTATATTCATGAAATAATATCAAGTATAACATAAAATAACATTTACTAATTATCATAATAGTCATTACTAATCTAATATAAATATTTTTTATTAATTTTTTGATTATGTTTTAAAAATAAAGAACATATTCGAGAAAGTTGAGAATGAAAAAGAATTTAGAATAATCTTAATCTAATTTCAATTTTATTTCATTTATATTAAATCATTTTCATATTCATTATTT